AAACTCTTATTAACGAATTAGTAAGTAATAGTTTACAGATGAAAGTGTTACTAGATACTTCTGTGGGAATTACTAATTATTTGGATTCGTATTATAAAGTGAAGATCATTGGAACTAACTAGTAATGACTCAAGTGTTACTACATGATCTAGTCATGATTTGTGCAAATGTTTGAGATTTTTGGTGAACTTTAGTAACTTTTAGAAAATGTCTTTAGTAACACTTGAGTAATTACTAGTTAGTTTCAATGATCTTCACTTTATAATACGGATCCAAATAATTAGTAAGTAATAGCTCATAGATGAAAGTGTTACTAGATACTTCTGTGGGAATTACTAATTATTAGGATCCGTATTATAAAGTGAAGATCATTGGAACTAACTAGTAATTACTCAAGTGTTACTACATGATCTAGTCATGATTTGTGCAAATGTTTGAGATTTTTTGGTGAACTTTAGTATACTTTTAGAAAATGTCTTTAGTAACACTTGAGTAATTACTAGTTAGTTCCAATGATCTTCACTTTATAATACGAATCCAAATAATTAGTAATTCCCACCAAAGTATCTAGTAACACTTTCATCTGTGAGCTATTACTTACTAATTCGTTAATAAGAGTTTCTTTTAGTTAATAGTAGTTACTAGATTGTTAATAAACTTTTTTCAGTAGTTCTCTGGGAAGTATTAAAAAAAAAGTAGTTATTGATTACTTAATAGTGAACTACCACTTTCGTCTGTGCGCTATTACTTAATAGTTTGTTAATCAGAGTTTCTTGTTAGTTAATAATAGTTACTAGATTGTTAATATTGTGTTACTCATTAGTTCTTGTGTAGTTATTCATTAACGAAGGAACCGTATTCTAAAGTGTTACCGATAAGTTTTCTTCTTTTTTTTTTCTCACCTTGCGGTTCAGGGCTTCCGAACTTAATACATAGTAGAATGTGCCCCTTATTATGTCGAAATAACTAATTATTTATGTCGAAATAACGACTCATTATGTCATTATAACGAGATATGTCGTTTTATCAAGATATTATGTCGTTATAACGAGATATGATGTCATTTTATCGACTTAGTATGTAGTTATAACGAGATATGTCGTTTTAAGGAGACATTATGTCGTTTTAGCGACTTATTAACACTGATGGGCAGTAACGCGTTAGAAGTAACGCGTTACTGTAATCCAATTACTTTTTTCTAGTAATGAGTAAAGTAAGGGATTACAATTGAAAAAACAGTAATTAGATTACCGTTACTTCCCCGTAAACAGCCTGCGTTACTGCGTTAGTTAACCGTGATTTTGTTTAGTCAGATTGTCTCGTGACATGAGTCGTGCGTGAATAAAAATGATGTATGAGCGCCGCGACATCAGTGAGAGACGACTAGAGCGCGGGAGAGATCAGGCGAGCTGCCAACTCTCACACACGCTCATACGACACCCCCCCGATTTCTCGCTCTGAAGTGTCAATCCCGTCGGCCAAATGCCTGAAAGATGAGTATATCTATAAATCTAACCGTTGAGCCACATTTGTGATTGACTAGTTGTACCGCAAATTAGTTAAAATCTCCCGGAATCTAGAGCGAGCGCGCATGCGAGACTGTGTTCCAAAGTCCAAACTTCGTATCGCGCGTGAGGAGAGCGAGAGAGAGACTTGCGTACTATGCAGAGAGCATCCTGATCTGGAAACAGGACCCCCGTTGGAGAATGTCAAAATTCTACCTCAAATCTGAGCAAGCATGTCACGAGACAGCCTCACACGGTTAACTAAAGCAGCAAGCCGGTACAGGAATGTGAAACTTACTGAAAAAAACCCTGAACCCCCATCTGACACCGCTGCGGCTACATGCTGATGGGACATAACCACTGTTTAACTCCGAAAGAAAAAAAAAAACTGAAAAAAACTTGAAGCCAAAATACGGCATGCAACAGCATTTATTGTTTTGATCAACTAATTTTTGCTCCTCTCTGCACTTTACTGTTAAAAGTAGCCTACTGTTTAATAATTTGTAATATAGTCAGGAGCGACTTTCATGATTTTGTTGCTGTTTTTTACATCTATTCAAATGAAGGATTTTACAAAATATATTTATTTTATATGCTGGAATATGTAGAAATGTATATTAACAGAAGAAGGGCTGTCTTTATTTCATTAAAATATGGTGGAATGTGCAGAAAATAGGTTTAAATATTCAACAATTTTCTTCTAGTCTAAGACTGTTGCATTTAGTTTAATTTTTGCTCGATGCAATGTGCATGAAGTTAAAATATTGAAAGAAATAAAACAAGTTAAAAAAAGAAAATGTTTAATTTGATTACATTTTAGATGATGGATATGCAGAAAGGATAGAATTAGGCTGAAAGGTCTATGCTTTAGCGTATTCAGGTCGTGCATCATGTTTTTGAAAAGTAACTTAGTAAAGTAACTAGTAAAGTTACTAATTACTTTTGAAAATAAGTAATCAGTAAAGTAATTGGATTACTTTCTTGGAGAACTAATCAGTAATCAGTAACTAATTACTATTTCCAAGTAACTTGACCAACACTGCTTATTAAGTCGTTTTAACGACTTATCTCGTTATAGACAGATATTATGTCGTTTTAACTAGATATTATGTCGTTTTAACTATATTATGTCGTTTTAAGGAGATATTATGTTGTTATAACGAGACATAATATGTAGTTAAAATGACATAAGTTTTCTTCTTTTTTTTTCACACCTTGCAGTTCAGGGCTTACGTAGTTTTTTGACAGGGAACACGTGGAACAAATCACCGCTCCATATTTTGATTGACATCCGTCACAGCCTACAAGTGACCGTGTTTACTCCTTTCTTTTCAGCTAAGATTAGATAAGATATAAAAAACGGCTCTTGTATTTGTACTTACGACGAAGCGCTGTTAAATATAGGTAAAAAACTATGCTGCAAAAATAATAAATAAAATCCTTTCTTAAAACGGCAAAAGAACGCATGCATGTTTTCTTAATATGATAATTAAAAACGAATAGACTGCTGAAAATGTGGGACATTTCCCAATATGCGACGTGCGGAGACGGGTGGTCACCCTAGGCATCAAAATTCTGTGGGAATCTGTGGAATTATCTGGAAAAATGATCCTCACAGATTCTGTGTGGGTCTGCTTATTATCTTCCCATCTCCTCTAGCTCATGCTAATGGCACAAGAGTACTGTATTACCATGAGAGGTTTTTCTCTAATATGAAAATTTCAAAAACGGATTATTTTTTCAGCAGAAAAAATAAAATAAGTTGTTTTGTCCTTAAAAAAAGAAGAAGAAGAAGAAGAAAAAGACACTTTTCGAGGCAGGGGAAATGACATGTTTTTGAGCAGTCTGATTTAGCATTTGACTGCATTATAAGAGCACACCAGGGGAAATCAAAGTTACAGGGTGTTGTGATCAAACTTGTTGAGAGGAAGCCAGCAAGAGAGAGAGCGATGGACTATCTGTCTACGTGTGAGATTTTTGAGGGACCTAAAGTAATTAATCCTGGCAGTTTTAAGTGCAGCTGGTTTCCTCAGCTACATGTGAGAGGAGAGGGAGAGTCAGGCTTCCCGTCTATCTCTTCAATTATCCTCCACTGGGAGGGCAGCGGTGAGCCACGGCCTGCTGGAGGTGTCCTATCGGGCCTGTGGAGAAAGCTGGAGAACTCTCACAGAGTGGAACGACACTTCACCTCTCTCTGCGGCTGTCTCTGCACAGTATATCCATGAGGAAAAGTTACATCTGAGAGATTTTTATTCATCCTGGTTGATAAATTACTACAGTATGCTTATGCTATGCAATGTATTAGAAAATAAAAGCAATAAGCCAAGGCTGTTTGTTAAATTTTTTTTTTTTGCTTAAACTCTATAAATCACTGTAACGCCTGGCCTTGAGTGACTATGCTTTTTATAAAATGGTTGAAACCAAAATAGGAGTTGAATCAATCAATAAATATATTAATCATGAAAATATCAAACAAATTCCCATAGATTGCATTCATCAGGCACAACAAGAACTTGGTGCCTACTAACATGCGGTCATGTGTGTATTCATCTGCATTGCACGACAGCTTTGTGTTAAGCACAACCAATCCAGAGTTATTATCATTAACTAAAACTAAAACTTGAACTCGCATTGCCTACATGAGCACCAGAATTCAAAGTTCAATGACTGAAAATCTCTGATAAAGGATGGTGGCATCATTTCACACATGGCAAAACATGATTTCAACATGTTTCAAAAAAGTAGTTAAAGACTAGAAGTGTTGTGCCTGAACGCGTTCATATTCAAAAGTCAAAATGTACTGTACTGTATTACTGCCTGATGAATGTTACTGTGAACGCGTTCATTCTAGTGTCTGTGAACGCACGCTCTCTCAGTTTAACTTCGTACAATTAGGGTGCCAGATTTCTATAGAGCCTTCCAGGCGAAAACCTGGCTAAAACACATGTAAACAGGCCTTAATATAGCGAAAAAACACCCAATCTGGCAACACCAGCCACCAGTGTCACACTGTGGATGCCGTCGACAAAGCAGCGGGCAAGGAGGCGTCGTATGATCATTTAAACGGATTTTATGACGAGGTCGGTGAGAATGGGAAAAATCTTGCAAACTGTCCGTCAATAAAATAATTGTTGTCTGAGGTTGTATATGGGCTGTGGCAATAATCAAAATTTTGAACTAAAATCTTTGAAACCTAATCTTTGAAACTTGAACTAGTTCATTTTTTTGAAGTATGAACTATGAACTGAACTAGATCATTTTAAAATGTGTGAACTGAACTTTGAACTAGTTCATGTAGAAAGTGAACTTTCCCAACACTGAAGACTCGAAACTACTTCAAATCCAGTGAGGAATGATTGGACTCTCATGTGACCAAAAGTTGAGAAAAGTAACTTTTGCACATTCAGATACGCATACAATCATCATTTCACACTGACCCCCTTTTTTTTCTTTTTTTTTTTTTGGACCATGATAAAGTCAATTTACGACACTTACAGCTTTGGCACTGGTCGTCCTTTGGCCCCCAGCAGCGTCCATTACATGCTCTATGACACCTTTGACCTGCAACCAGGAAAGATAAAACATTTAGTTATTGAAATGTTCGAAATAAAAGATTACACAAAACATTTCCCTTATTTACCTGTGCATAATAAGACCAGAAAGTGATCTTAGTAAATTTTGATTTCGAGTTGACTAAAACTTTTAAGTGTGCATCATTACGGGGACGTATATTGTCCTAATGTTCAATCACAGTAACCATAATTTGGATCATTCCGCTTTGGGATAGAACTCTTTCCATCCGCACTGACCCTATTCTGATGAAGTGGGGAAGAGTCATGGCTGACTGACAGAACAATGTTCTCCCTGACTCTCCGGAGCTGTGCCTGAATCCTCCCCGGCCCGTAGAGTTTGCTCCACTCATCTGCAGTGGCTGCTCTGCCACCCAAGCTTAATTGACTGTTGGGTAATTGCAGTGTGAGCATGGCTGACTGATGGAGTGTTGTCCTCTGTCCTTGTTCCACTTCAGTTAAGAGTAATTACACTAGTGGCTTACTCTCTTCAACTACATGGGGCAGACACTTTTGACTTTCTCCCCTTTTTAAACCTAACCCTTTTTTTACACTCTCTACCAACTCATTGTCTGCCTACTCTATTTTTCTGTTGTTCATGGCAAACTTTCGTGAGATATTGGGAGAAAGGCCCACTTTCTAATAGCTCAGTCTAAATGAGAACTCGTCATCATGTCATGGAAATTAGGCCACGTTCAGACTGCAGATAAATGTGGCCCAAATGAAAAAAATGTTTTGCTCATATGTGACCCGGATATGCTTTTGTCATGACAATGTGAACGGCACAAACCACAAGGAATCTGATCTTTTTAATGCTGATTTGCGTCACTTCCAGTCATATCGGAGTAAAGCCCATTGCACACTGAGTCCGAAATTTGCATCCGGAATTTTCGCACGTTAAAAAAAAAAAAAAAAAAAAAATCGACCTCATGTCAGTCACGCTTGCACACCGCCTCCGAAACTTTCGTCCATCAAAAAAAAATTCGGATCGGGTTCGATTTTCTGCGTTTTTCGCATCCACAGCCAGCATGTTGAGAGGTTTTTTCACATTTCAGGGCCGGGGGGAGCTCGTTTACTGTCTATGGAGCTCGTTCCGCATATCATTGCGCATATGCGTAGTGTTTTCATTTTCAGTTTTCAATTGGATCAAGTGTTTATGTTCTCTTCTCTTGATTGGATTATGAAAGGAATAACCACCCCTTTCAATCAGATTGAAATTTCGGATCAATTAATGTGTGATTGAGCAGCCAATTCGATAACTAATGTAGTATTTGGGTACAATATATAACCTGTAGCCTATACAGCTGTTCTGTTTGCCCAGCGCTTCCACACGCGCGCGTGCGTGTGTGTGTCCATACCTGACAGTCTCTGTTCAGAATCGATTGGTTCACGGAAATTGGTGGTCTTGTTTTTAAAATGTGGCTCCAGAATCACAAGGAAAAGCATCAAACTGTTCCACTGACATTCTGAGGTAAATTTTGAATCGCTCGGCATAAATTCGCAACTCCTTGATAAGGAGGTGCTTCCTCTCGGCGCAATTTCAGGATTGGAAGGACGCAATATTTTCTCTTTCTTCTCGAGAGGACAACAAAATCATCCTCACTGCTTGACGAATCCATTTTGTATTTTTGCGTTTTTTTTTATAATACGCATCGGACTCAGTGTGCAAGGTTTCTGTGCGTGACGAATTTTAAGGCTGACGAACACGAAAAAACGCATACGAAAATTTCGTACTCAGTGTGGCCTTAACATAGGCTATGTTTACACGGGTACAATTCTGAAGAGAAAGCGCAAAAGTGGCGTTATCACTTTTTATTCTTTCTTTAGACACACGTTTTGGGTGGGAAATCCGCATGCGTATGGTGACGCAAAAGTGTGTGAAAATCAATGTATTATATAGGTGGCGATGTGGAGCACTGCCACACAACAACACCAAGTCTGCGCGCCTGCGTACAACCTTCACTGTCAAGCAGACTTTTGGGTTTTTACACTTTACACGGGAACGCGGCGGTGGAGCGTTTTTAAGATTTCCACTCTAGAGTGTGGTTTCACATTTTTGCATTTTTAAGCCACAAAAACGCCGTTGCCGTGTAAACGAAAGGCACATCAAATAAAATATTTTTTACGTTTTCACCTGCGAGCATTCTCGTGTAAACAGGGCCATAGAGTAACAAGAGTAACATTCGTCACAATTCAGCACTCATGGGAGTCACTTCAAAGATTTTACATGCCCCGAATTTATCGAGACAGTTCACGTTGTTTCACATGTAGAGCTCCAAAGAGGACAAAAGATCAGCATAAAAGTAGTCTATACAACTTGTACATATACAACTGAATGCACGTACAATAGTTTCATGTGAGGTATAGATGTAACTTACGAGTCGAATGGGCCACTTTTATGGTGCTTTTTTGAGCTTGGAAGCTCCTGGTCACTGTGACCATTTCACATTTCACAACAAAACATCTCCCCCTGTTTCCACTAGAAAGAGAATTTCATTCAGGTTTGAAAATGAAATGAGTGCGAGTAAATAATGATAGAGGCGCTCAATGTCTCATTTGGTTCATTTTTAATGTTTAAATTGACCATATGCTTCTCCTTAACTGCCTACACTGCTGCTTCTAACCCAATCTGAAGGTTACAAACATTGGAAATAAGTAATTGATAAACATTGCCTGGAAGGGCAGTGTTGCATTTAAATTGGTGAAAGGACCATTGCTTATTCCCTGTTGTTTTTTGAATAGCTAATGTAAATAACCTCACTAAATAATGAAATAAAATCAATGAGGACAATCCTTCCCCCAAAACACTAAGAGATTTACTGGCTTACAAACTCAACAAACTTGATCTGGGCAGTGGGGAGAGAAACAGATCAAGATTGATTGATTGGACATAACGTTAGTCTCTCCAAATTAAAATAAGTATTTTTTTTTAAGAGTTTTTAAGATTAGATAAACCTAAAATGAAATCTCACCCTCATCTTGTTGTTCTCACTATATGTTGTTTTTGTTTTTTTTAAGACATGGGACACAAAAGGACATTTTGGGGTATTTTTCTATATGATAATAGCACTAAGTAAAAGTACCATCAAATAGCTTTGTGTTTTTTTGTTTGTTTTTGTTTTAATCCTTTAATCCTTTAAAGAAGGTATGTGGGAACCTTCTCCAAACTTTTTCCTTTTGTGTTCGGAAAAATAATAGTATACAGGGTTGGATCGACACGAAAGTGAGTAAATAAAGACCAAATTTAAATTCAGGTGTAGTTAGACACACAGATTCCAAAAAGAATCAAAACATCATTTAATAAACAGAGAGACTGTGCAGGAGAATCAGATCAGCAACTACAAAACAACACAAGCAAGACTATAGCTGTGTCTGAAATCGCTCCCTATCCACTAAATAGTGCACTATATCGGGTGTCGGCCATTTTGTAGTGGTGTCCGAATTCTGAGTGAACGACATCATTCCCTACATTCATTCACTACTTTTACCCACAATCCTCTCTGAATTCGAGTGTACATTCGATGTACACTCGCTGAAGCCCTATTTCCCACAATCCAATGCGGAGAGAACTGAGCGCGCATGAAAGTTCGGCGCGAGCAAGTTTAAACCAGAGATTACATTACATCCAGTGGAGGATTTGAAAAATATCCGTTAATCGTCGTTTTGAACATAATAACGGTCGCCGGAGGGCGCTCGACGACACGTCATCTGTGAACGTGAGAGTTAATGTACAATTTCAGTCGATGAAACTACAAAGCTGGCACGGAGGTATAATTACAAAATAAAGTCATTATGATTGTTATTGTTGTTAATATTATTTTATAAAGTAGGTAATGTAAGATAAAAGGAGTTTTATCAGTACGCGTGACGAAGCCTTTTCTGCGACAGCTCCAACTCTCCGATGCACAGTGTAAACGTCAGCGTCCGAATTCACTCACTTCATCTCCTTCACTCCTTGCAGATATAGTGCACTCAAATGCCATACACTATATAGGGATTAGTGAATGAGTGAACGAGTGAGCGGTTTCAGACACAGCTTATGTTCACATTATCAGTCAAAATCTGGACATTTGTGTAGCCAAAATCTGATCTAAATGATTGGTTATCCATGTTGTGTCCAACTGTTCAGATCCGATTTGTGTCCCATGCTGCTCTTTTGTTTTCCGAAATATCTGCATTGGTTTCTATGGCAATGGCGTTGCGTTGGTAGATAAACGCCAAACAACAACAACATGGAGGGATTTGCAATACAAAACACGTCTCCATTATTGTCATTTTCTGCTTGTCTGGGACTTTGCAACAACACAACCTTGTCTCTGCAGGGATTTTCAGCATGTTTCCTAAAGTCTGACACTTACTTTTTTTTTTTTTTAGTATTAGTATTTTTACAGTATACATCAAATGGAAAAACAATACTAACATGGTTTCTAAACAGTGTGTGACATTTTTTTTCTTCAGGATTATTTGATGAATAGAAAGAACAATAGTACACTACCATTCAAAAGTGTGGGGCCAATATGATTTTTTTTTAAATAAATAAATTATTTAATTCAGCAATTGACAGAATATTTATATTCCAAATCAACTGTTCTCTCACACAAATATTGTGCAGCACAACCGTTTTCAACATTGTTAATAATAAGAAATGTGGTAACACTTTAGAATACGGCTCCTTCGTTAATGAATAACGAAACAACAACCAATGAGTAACACAATATTAACAATCTAGTAACTATTATTAACTAACAAGAAACTCTGATTAACGGACTAGTAAGTAATGAAAGTGGTAGTTCACTATTAATTAATCAATAACTTCTATTTTTTTAATACTTCCCAGAGAACTACTGAAAATGTTTATTAACAATCTATAACTACTATTAACTAAATCCAAATAATTAGTAATTCCCACAGAAGTATCTAGTAACATTTTCATCTGTGAGCTATTACTTACTAATTATTTGGATCCGTATTATAAAGTGAAGATCATTGGAACTAACTAGTAATTACTCAAGTGTTACTACATGATCTAGTCATGATTTGTGCAACCGTTTGAGATTTTTGGTGAACTTTAGTATACTTTTAGAAAATGTCTTTAGTAACACTTGAGTAATTATTAGTTAGTTCCAATGATCTTCACTTTATGATACGAATCCAAATAATTAGTAATTCCCACAGAAGTATCTAGTAACACTTTCATCTGTGAGCTATTACTTACTAATTCGTTAATAAGAGTTTCTTTTAGTTAATAGTAGTTACTAGATTGTTAATAAACTTTTTCTCTGGGAAGTATTAAAAAAATAGTAGTTATTGATTACTTAATAGTGAACTACCACTTTCGTCTGTGCGCTATTACTTACTAGTTCGTTAATAAGAGTTTCTTGTTAGTTAATAATAGTTACTAGATTGTTAATATTGTGTTACTCATTAGTTCTTGTGTAGTTATTCATTAACGAAGGAACCGTATTCTAAAGTGTTACCAGAAAGGTTTCTTCCACCAAATACAGAGTATATTATATAGTATATAGTATAGTATAGTATACTGTAGTAGTATAGTATTAGTGTATATAGTAGAGTAGTCTATAAAGTATATATCGTACATATTTAGTATAGTATTATATAGTATAGTATACTGTAAGTATATTAGAATGATTTCTGACAGATCATGTGACACTGAAGACAAGAGTAATGGCTGCGTCTGGGTGAATACTCGATTCTGATTGGCTGCAGGGTGTCCGTTAAAAAGTGATAGAGGACACCTAGTAAAGTAGTTCTGGTGAAACTGCCTGTTTACCATTCGAAATGAATAAATAAATGCGCTGCCTACAACGGCTGTGAGTAACCATAGCAACAGGCAGTCACATGCTCTATCATCTAACGTTAGATATTATAGCCTAATACAACAATGAGCGACTTCGTGCTATTTCTTTTAACATTTATGGAGAATATGGCAACTTTGACGACTGGTATGCTGCTTAAGAAAGAAAAAATGTAAATAAAACGGAGAAAATTACACCGCTGCTGCTCTGCTCCATTGAACTCTATTGGTAACGACGTAACTTGCGACCATAGTTGGATAACGATGCTTTCGGGAAACGCACCCCTGAATGAGACCCTGCGGGAGTTTTACGCAGCTGTCCAGACAACCAAGGCAGGAGAAGGCTGAACGTTACAGCGTTTCAAGCCTAAGGAGCCTGAGGCAAATGACCCTCTCTTTGATCTGATTAATTTATTGCCCTCTATAACGTTAAGCACAAATCGCTGGAGCTCAGAGCTAATTGTTTTTTTATTGTTGTTTGATTAATTGTTTTATGTGTAATAAAAAAAAAAAAAAACTATTCCTACCTTTGTGTTTCATGAAAAAAAAAATGCATTTGTGAACCTGAAGGGATACGAGCTAAGCGGACTATAGGCCAAATATCTCCGGTTGCTAAATAAACAGTCAGGCAAGGCAAGTTATTATTTGTAAAAACTAGATTTAGCCTAATTAAAATATAAACTAATGTTTTAAAAATGTTTTATTTGGCAAGTGACCATGGTATAAGCGGGTTAATGCCCTCCGAGGTGTCCATTGTCAGGTTTTAATGGACTTCGGCGGAGGCAACCGTCCTCCGCTGCGCGTCGGCCGGTTTACGCCTCGCCGTCATCCATTAAAACCTGACAATGGACACCTCGTCGGGCATTAACCCTTACATAAATTACATTTTAAAAACTTTCATTAAAAAAAAGCATTCTTCCAAAAATCACACTGACCCCAAACTTTTGAACAGTAACAATTCATTTTTGCACCTCATGCTCTAATTGGTCAGTAGTACTCACAGGAGCCGCTGCTATTAGACGGCACAACCAGGTGATCAGAGCGGGCGTTCTTCACTATATCCTGCCAGTGGATGGTATCGGCATGACACAGGAACTTGTTCTGGTCCACGTACACCCCTCCATTCAGAATTTCTGTTAAAACAACGACAACAACAATAAAACACCAATCAGTCTGCAATGAATTATGTCAGCGGACACATCTGAGCGAATCATTCCAGTCAAGGTGACCTCATCACTATCTTACTTTATGTGGAATATAGCAAGGTTAGGCTCTTCCGAGAACAAAGATAATGTATAAAATAATTAGATTTCTTCACACAATGTCACTTTTTGACCCTCTGGTGTTTTTGACTGGCCTGGTTAGTCAGCCTGGAATCCACAGCTGGTGTTTTAAAGGGACAGCTCACTCAAAAATGTAATTCTGTCATTATTTACTCACTCTAATGTCATTCCAAACCTTCTGTTGCTCAAAATGCATTAGGTCGCAATATGCGGTAAATCCTTCCCTGATGTCAGTGTATCACAAGTTATGGTTTATACAACAATTTATGAGTCAAATAGACATATTTTATTATATGAAGAGTTCAGATGCAAAAGCCTCTAAGTGTCATTTGAATTTCTTCTAGAATTATCATTTTTATCAAGCTCGTATTAGTAATTTCACTTAAATGGCAATGAAGATTACCTATGAATTGTCATTTAAGTGAAATTACTGAAATATACGAGCTTGATAAAAATGATCATTCTACAAGAAAATTTCAAATGGCACTTAGAGGCTTTTGCATCTGAACTCTTCATATTTTTATGTTGTGCGGGCATCCTTTTTTAAAAGCTTAACTAAAAGCTCCATTAATGGTAAAATATCTTACAAAATGTCTCCTTTTATGATCCAAAGAAGAAAGTATTGCAATGACATTTGGGTGAATGAATAATGACAGATTTTTATTTTATTTTATTTCGAGATTAACTATCTTTTTAACAAAGAGGCCAGACAAATTCGACTCTGTTTCAATTTTATTTTTGTCCCCCTCTTCATTGCAACCCCCACCCCCCACACACACTTCCCGCTCCTTTGAGAAACGTCTACTCTCAGCAGACAAAAACAGAGGGAAGGAAATGATTACATTCCCGACAATATCAAAATCAGATCCATCGTGGATTTGGAGCTCTGACATTCTGGTCAGCAGCGCTAACAGATTTCTAATTTCGTATTTCATCTGCAGGGAGACACTTTTCAATCCTTAGCCCTAATATGCATCATACTGTTTCACACGGATCACCGGATGGAGAGGAATCCATCTGTTGTTCCCCTCCCCATGCGTTCAATGGGTGAGACGTCTATGTTTGGGCACACCAGACGACAGTGAACATTATGATCTTAACGTGTCTGGAGTAATCCTCACTTGCGTGGACAAAAACACTGGAGAGCTTATAACAGATTTGCATTATTTACTGCAATGGATTTCTCTTTCACGGCAACAGGAGATTAGCTGTGTGTCAGTAGAACAGATGAGACATTCATATAACCACGGGCCATCTGAAACTGATAATAGCCTAACAAAAGCTTGATTAAACTGTACTCCATGGATGATTGGAGAAGGTGTTATTGTGAATCTCCCCAATCTCTACAGGGCATTGAGAAACCTGTCGCTCAATGGATAAATTAATTTTAGCGTCCTCTGCGTTTGACATGCTGGGAGGGCTGAACGCAAATGTCTTGAGCTCTCCTAGAGGCAAGAAACAGAAAAAAAAAAACAAATAAATGCAATGGCAGAACTCAGCAGGGGTCCTTAGACGGCCTTACCGGTTGATGGGGGGCCGGAAAGCTGTCGTTCTCTCTACAGATGTAGCAAACTAGCTCTATGAAATATTAATAATCAATCATAACTTGTTAAGCGCAGTCTCATCCCAAGACGTCATATAACTGACGTCTTGGGATGTCTTTTGACCATATGTCAACATCCGCCTTTTTAGGGTACCCTTAAACGTCGGTTAGATGACGTTATCGGATCCTAACCCTACCCCAGACCTAAACCTACCCTGTCACCTAACCGACGTTAAAGGTAAAGCGTCAGTTGTATGACGGCCCGGGATCATCATGTAACCGACGCTTAAGGGTTTTAGTGCGTTTCCCTGATTCTCTTGAAAAGTTCCTCGTTCTTCGAAAAGGACATTGGGCAGTGAGCGTTGTCTTTTGACGCAATGATTTGGTAAGATTTGAGTCATTACTATTGGGTTAACATGTTAATATTATACATTATGTATTATTAACATTAATAATGAACCTGTATAGAAGTTCTTAGTAGTTTTCCGAGAGGAATTTAGCAATGCAGTAGGAAATTGTCTTCTCTGCTGAAGATAAATGGGAAACTCTGTTAGAATTTGGCTAAAAGAAGATATCTGGGATTTAAAAAAGATCTCTTGAATTCAAGAAAGTGCCTATGATGACTAAAGATGCTGCTCATAGGCAACTCGCGAGATTTTACAGAACACAAACTTGCAGAACATAATGATTTCTCTGGGCCTGAGACAATCAGTTTCGTTTAACTAAATGGACAAGATGGACATCATTTTGGAACCAGTGTTGTAATAGTACCAGGGCCTTTCATTAGCTTAACTTAAAGGGATAGTTCACTTTGAAATTAATTAGTTTACCTCAAGGGCATCCAAGATGTAGGTGTCTTTGTTTCCACAGTATTTTCAATTTTGACATTTTTCAGTCAAACCGGTGTTGTCTATCAGTCATACACTGGAGGCAAATGGGGTCCACCAAAAAACATGCACTGAGAAGTCCAAATTAAACATGATTTAATGACTCGTAAATGTAAGTACACATTGATGGCCTAAGACACGAAACGAGCGGTTTGTGTGAAAAAACTAACAGTATTTATATCGTTTTTACCTCTTGTAATCAAAGTGACGTCCAAGTGATCTGAATCAGTTGTGCAATGTCTAACTGAACCAAACTGAATCAGTTCAATGTTACGCCGAAAGTGATCGCTTGCGTGTGACGTCACTCAATATTTACACAGAGATTTCGGAAGTTTTAACTTTTACTAAACATATTTAGATATACCGAAATCGTCTTCCATTGCGGTTTCCCGTATATCTAAATATGTTTAGTGAAAGGTAAAACTTCCGAAATCTCTGTATAAACAAAGAGTGACGTGGGCGCGCAAGTGATCACTTCCGGCGCATGCGCAGACCGAATCGCCCGTGCAGTCAGATCATTTTGTCATGGCTATAATTACAAAAGGTAAAACGATATAAATACTGTTCGTTTTCTCACACAAACCGCTCGTTTCATGTCTTAGGCCATCAATGTGTACTTACATTTACGAGTCATTAAATCATGTTTAATTTTGACTTCTCTGTGCATGCTTTTTGGTGAACCCCCTTAGCCTCCAGTGTATGACTGATAGACAACAACGGTTTGACTGAAAATTGTCAAAATTAAAAATACTGCGGAAACAAAGACACCTACATCTTGGATTCCCTTGAGGTAAGCTAAAACATATCAAAAATTAATTTCAAAGTGAACTATCCCTTTAAAGATAAACAATAGTCAAGCGTCTCCTTTTAACAATCACAGAGTCCTATTCCAATAGTTCATTCACATTTCCTCTATAAGATGATCAAGTCAGTCAGGCATATATGTGGCTGCCTATTCATCACAGAGTGCCAACATCACCACGGCCTTACGCCAGTCACTGCCAGCAGTCTGGCTCTGCATGTGGCACAGAGGGATCGCGCCTGGCAGGGCTTATGAGGAATGATATGCCAGACTGTGCCAACTTCCCCTGCCGCCACTGTACAAATAGGTGATCTTCTGCACCATCCATCAACGTGAGGCTCTACACCACACAGCCCTGCCTCTCTAGGCGCGTTACCAAGGAGATGCTGTCTGGGTAAAAAATGCAACGGGTAAAGTTGAGCAAACAGCAAGAGGGAACTGAGTGATTTTTCTTTCTAATAAGAGGAACAAAAAGTGTCCGCAATCCAAAGACACTAGGACTTTTGTGAGAAAAATAAACACTTTATGTCTTAATCATGGTTTAACTGAACATTATTGTTCTTTTCACTGTTGAGGGTGATAACTTCTATGCTGTCTTTTTTTTCTTTTGTGAGACTTAGAGTGCTAAAACCATGGCCCAAGTACTAAACAAGACCTAAGAGAGAAAGAGAATATCTTACATCTCTTACATATCTTTCACCGGATATTTGAAGATCGAGTGTCCCTCTGTGTCCAATTTGAGTGGGAAAAACACAAGTAACTCCTTCCATGTGTCCATTAGAGTCTGGCTGACAGAAATTACTGAAAAGCAGCCAGAGAACACCTCAAACTCTTCTGGATAAATGATAGCATTCTGTGCACTTTTTTTTTTTTTTTTTGGCTTATTGCAGACTGACAGAGACAACTACCTGAAATGTTCTTACTACCTGACAGATTGACTTCGGTGGTGTCTTTCAGGTATTAGGGACATCTTCAGTGTGTTATTTCACAAAAAAAGTCACTTCCAGCTCGTAATGATTTGTTCTATCTTCTGAATCCTACATTGGGACATTGCGTGATTTGTTGAAATATTCTGCTTCCATAAATTTTGCATCTGAAGGGAAAATGCATATGCAATAAGGTCAGCCGCAAAAATAACTATGTCCACGCCTTTTCAGCGCTCATTCTTCACTACGTGTCTTTATAAAATCCTGATAGTTTTTAAATGGCAAAAATGGTTTTGTGCTGGCATAGGCTTCAACTAAATCTGGTCCTATGGCTGATATCTATATCCAGGGCCTGAAGTTAACTTTTTCGGCCACCGGCCACTGTGGCAGGTGGATTTAAAAATTCACCTGCCACAGAGACTTTTTACCAGCCATTTTTTTTTTTTTTTTGCCTCATAAACGTAAAAACCGGGAATTTCACTATATTGTTCTTTAACTTGCTTAACTTCTTTAACTTCTTTAAAGTGCTGTCAAGTAATAATAACTAAAAAAATCTTTTTATTCATTGATTTTGACAGACACAAACACAACAGGCTAGCTATAATATAGTATATACTCAACAGATAGACCTACCGCAGCTCGTAAACAAATCACACGCGGCTGTGTTGATGGCGGATTTATTCACGTAGACA